GAGCACATGGCTGCTCAAAAATGGAGGATCCGGGGTAAGATGGAGGGCGTAGCCCTCGCCCTGGGGCAAGATGGAGGGCGTAGCCATCGCCCTTTCAGGGGCAAGCCCCTCAGCCCAGGCTGACCTGCCAGGACGGGTGTGGGGACAATGGAGCTGTGAACACAGAGGGGCTCAGAGGCTCTGCTTTATTTAAAATTTAAATTCTTTATTGTTGAAAGTATTTCATATGTCTCTTTTCCCCCCACTGACCTCTTTCCATCCGTTCCTGCCCCCCAGCACATGCCCTCACCCCTACTGACCATGTCCACTGGTTATGCTGATATGCATGCACACAAGTCCTTTGGTCTCTGTTATGGTTTGGCTCAACAAGATACACCACCGACTCAGAATTTAAATTTAAGAGCCTTTATTAAGCTGGCCAGCTGACCACAGTGCCTATCGCCCCCTCTGGGAGCTTCGGAGCATGTGGCAGAGATTAAGGGTGCAGTATGATCCTTTATACAAAAACAGTGTTGAAAAATACAAAGCATCTCATTAGCTGTTCCTTAGAAGTTCACAGAAAGTTCATAAGCACAAAGGGGAGGTAAACGGAGTCACACCTGGCTGGAGCATATCATAACATATTGTTTTTCTAAGACAATCTAGCAATTTTTCTCTGCCACAGTTCCTGACCCTAATACAATCGGTAACCTTTTCCAGGCCGCAGTCCCTCCCCCTCCCACATTCTGTAACCCTTCCATGCCGCAGTCCCTCACCCTAGCACATTCCCTACTGGTCTTATGCCCGAATCAAATCTTTGATTCAGCGCCCTCCTCTATGATATGAAATTGAGGAGGCATTTGGCAATGTAGGGGTCGAGCCACCGAGGAAGAGTTCAGCATTGGATGGTGAAGAATTGGCCAGGGTCTCGGCCATTGACATAAGAGTCTTAGTCCACACATCTTTCTCCTTCCAATTGGTCAGTTCACCAGGCGAGAGGCATGAGGAGGACGGGGTTACAATATTCAGTGCCTCTTTCCCGCGACTTTGATGGCGGTTGGAGTGCTCAGTACCACCACCTGGTAGGGTCCATCCCATCTAGGTTCCAGGCTGCTAGGGTCCAGGCGCTTCACCCAGACGAGATCACCCAGAGAGAAGGCAGGCTGTGTTGGACTAGATCTCAGCACGTCCTCCTCCCGTATGGCTCTCACCACCCGTTGTGCTGACGTGGCGCTGCTCTGCAAAGCCTGTAAGGAGTTAAGCAAATTTTGGGTAGACAGCCGGGCAAGATCTTCCTCCCTTAGGCGGGGAAGGAGAGGTGGCAACCTGCCAAACATACGGGATGCACCTAGCTCTGAGGAGAGCAAAAGGAAGGAGACTTACCCAGTTTTCGCCAGTCTTTAGTTTTAACTTAGGTAATGTTTTCTTTAAGGTCCGATTCATCCTCTCTACCTGTCCAGAACTCTGTGGTCTCTAAACATAATGCAATTTCCAGGCAACCCTCAGGGCCTTAACTATAGATTGTGTAACTTTGGCGATAAACACCAGGCCATTGTCAGACCCCATATATAGTGATAGGCCAAACCGGGGGACAATTTCAGTGAGGAGTTTTCTAACTACTACCTGTACTGTCTCTGCCTTGGTTGGGTATGCCTCAGGCCAGCCAGAGAAGGTATCAATGAAAACCAGCAGGTACTTATACCCTCCTGTCCGCCTGGTATCTCGGTGAAGTCCACTTCCCAGTGTTCTCCGGGGTTCTGACCTCAGAATTGCTGTCCCGGCGTGGCCACAACAGGGGGCCCTTGATTTACCCGGGCACACACTTGGCACCTCCTAGCCAAGTCTTGAGATATTTTCTGGAGCCTTGGGATGTAAAATTCTCTTCCTAGTAGTTCTGATAGCTTCGTTCCCCCCAGGTGGGTGCTCTAGTGGGTCTGGGAAGCGATGGTCCGCCCCAGGGCTTCTGG